CAACTTTATGCCTTTCTAAAATGAGCACTACCCAAAGAGCAATTTCACTAAGCATGTTGTCAATTGTCAAAATTCTTTTATACAAGTTGTTTATTTTACAGAAAAACTGCATCTCTGTGTAAACAGTGAATCTTTTCAATGACCAAAACAGAATACTGGAGCATTTCAATCCTTTTCTTAATTTTTAGATTCATATTTTTCTGTATTATCTTTTCCTGCAGCCATATTTGTGTTGTGCATGTCTGTGCAAGACATAATGCAGGCTGTACAAGCACACAAAAAAGGCTGCTTACACAGGAGTTTCCTCCAGCACACTTCTAGTGACAGGCTCTATTGATTTGGATGCTCTGCAGTAAATATGGTCATTTTATATATTGAGAATCCATTTCTATATGGCATATCTTCTACAATCAGAATATTTGGGTAAAGGATGCAGCATGCTCTTATTTTGAAATGCTCAAAGTATATGCTGTTGTCAACTCAAGATTTTATACTAAATGAAAAATATATTTTAGCCCAAAACAGGGCACAAACTCCCACTTTTTTTTTTTTTTTTTTGGATTTTTTTTTTTGTTTTTTTGGTGACACTCTACTTGTGATATTTTCTGAGTGCTTCAAGAATTACTGGGCAAAATTTGTACTCTAATTGCAACTCTGTAGTTTTTGATGGAAGCTGGTTCACTACTGCACTGCACCTGGTGTTCCTAATATGAGATTATCAGGTAAAATCTGTATTTCTGTGCACTGCAGCAGATGCATTTTAGAGCCATAATGTGTCGTTACCAATGTTGAACATAGCTGCCACTAGAACGTGCAGGACATAGGAAAACTGGTTTTATTACATAACTGTGGATTTGTGTGCAGCTGGGTCCTAACTAGGCAAAACAGATGCTGGAGGATATAAAAGGATTAAACCGTCTGGGTTACATGCCTAACATTTTGCTAAATATTTTATGTAGCATCGTCTGGCACATGTTAATTATGTTGTATTATTACTGTTTTAGAAAACAGTAGTTATAAATAAGTAGATGTTTTTTCCTGCTGCTTTGAACTTGGAGCAGAATGTTAATGGTATCAGCAGCATGTTAAGTTTACTATTTACCATTAAATAAAAGCCTAAACAATTAGGAGTAATGCTGTCTTTCAAAGGATCCTTGTCAGCAGGAGGTGACATCTGAAGGTCCCTGCTGAAGTACACTCCGAGAAGCTGCAATAAATTGGCTGATGGCAGCTTTTACTGTGCACTGAAGAGTAGTTTAACTGGAAAGCCAAATGCCAAATTAAACCCGGATAAAAATAGGCAGCTGCGCAGTTCTATTTGTAAAATGAGAAATGTTCTAAAAACTTTGTGCAGCTGAATTTTCTCAAGATTAAAGCCAGTGAAGGGTACTCTTAAATCCAGTAACTTCAGTAGGTCTTCATATTGTAGTAGAAATGACTGCAATTAAAACTTGAAAATTAGGATAATTTTTACTGCAGAAAAACATAGCGGAAAACACTCTTTAAAGAAAATTAAAGACATTTAAGTAAGTCTTAGGATCTCCACCAGTCTAAAACAAAACAATTTCTCTCATGTATGAAGTATTTGAGTGCACCAGCTTCTTGGACTTACATGTCTTGTATTATCCTGTCTGTATCATGTCTGTGTTATCCATGTATCACAGTCCTGAAACCATTGAACACCTTTCAATCATTATATTCATTTTCACAACACATTGGAGAAGTATTTCTTCCTAATTTTAAGGTTATGAAGGGAAAGAATAAATAATTACCTTGGAAATATATAAGAAACCAGAAGAGGCTTCCAAATTTAACATCAGGAGTTTTTTGTTGTCTCTTAATTTGGGTGCTTTTGTAACCAACAAGTAAAATATTTGGATGAAGAGGGAAGCATACCTAAAGGAGATCATATAAGAAGCAGTCTTGGAAGTTAATTTGACTTTATTTGAACAGAATACAGTCACCTAGAAAACAAGCTAACTATTTTTAAACACTGACAGATGCAAGAGACAGCACAGGTAATTATTGGAGAAGCAGTAGTTTCATTATCCCTTAAACTACTTAGAATAACAAACCACATTACAATTTCCTAGGACAATCTATTTGTGAATATTTGCATACTTGCCCTAACAAATTCTATCATGCACTCAAGTGAGATATAAGCTAACCAGTTTTTTAAGTTTATAAACATCATATTATGCAAACAATTTTAAGTAAATACTTTTACCTAATTTGAAAAATCTGTCACCTTCCACAGCACCACATGAAGATCTTGTTTTAAAATAACATTAAATCCACAGCAATAGCTAAATATTTTAAATACTTATGTATTACACTGTAAACTCTACATAAACACTACGTACACCAAAAAAAAAAAAAAACATACAAAGAACATAAAGATAATTTTGATTAGCAAAGATACCTCAAATGTATCGCCAGAATCATTTTTCTGTTCTTACGACTTATCCCCAAACCACTCCCAGAAAAGGCACAGTTGGTGGTGATTTTTTTTTTTTTTTTTTTAACACACAAAGCCAGAATCAATACAGTAGGCCAATGCAGTCAAACACTGCTCTTATTTCTAGGAAGAACAGGAAAGAAACTTGCATTAGTGTCCAGATGGCTCAGGAAGATTCTAATAATGAAAGATCTCCAGCATCTGCTTACTGCTCTAGGCTCAAATGCAGAAATGAATCCCAAATTAAATTTCAGTGAGGAGAACTTGGCTGTACATCTTGGACATGACTGCCAGCTAGAGTTACTTGCCTATTCCAAGGCAGTCCTGGGGCTCAGCTCACAACCAGCTATTGACGGCACTCAGGAGAGATGATGGTTTTTTAAATTAAATTGGTAATTACTGTTCAAAGATTATACTCAAGAAGTATTAGACAATACTTCTTCCACTTTTGCAAACAAAACCTTTAAATAAATAGATCTTTTAAAACTTATTACAAGGCTTCGATATATTTATTAAAGTCATTCCAACTTTTTATTATTACAGTACCTAAAAAGTTCTCCTTTACCAGCAAATGATGCCATGTTTGGCAAGAAAATGGTATTGGTAATTTTTTAAACCAAAATATGCATATATGAGTTATCCCCATTTTTTTAGAAAAAAATGCTTCTAAGAAAAATATTTTTACTAAGTCTATATTCTAAGATACCTGATAATACTTACACTATTACACTAAACAAACTGCCTTTTATGAACTATATACATTGATGAACACAAGCTCAGATGCACTAAGTTTCCCAGAAGACAGAAAGCATTGCTGGAATCTATCACGTATTGTTGCAAGTCGTCTTTGAGAAGTGAGAAAAAACTCCATTTTGGCATTGCTGCTTTTAGAGCATATTCCAAGTACTTGTATAACCACCATCAGCGATCCAGAAATCTGCAAAAGATGCTGATATATTGCATTCATGGTATCAAAAAATAGAAAGATTCAGCACTGAATTTTTATATTAAATGGAGCCTGAGGTATTTATACAATCCTTTATAATGGAGATGAAATATTACCCATTGCATGTTGTCTGCAACTATTCAGGACTTGCTACATGAAATACCATTCCTGTGTTGTTATTTGGAAGACCTACTGCTGCACAAGGCCTAAATAAGTCAGTAGAACTTTCATTAGCTATAAAATTGGCATACTAACAAAGTGCTATCTAAGTTCAGTGCTAAAGACTAAAGCAATTGGGCTGCACCAAGGCTTAGAGAATGACCAAGCAGGTCCTGCAGAGAACCCACAGCCTCCCCCTTCTGTGCACAGAGGCTGCCAGAATGAGTGCAGGGTAACTACACAAGCTGCAGCACAGACATCTTGAGGCAGATTCCTTCCCTCTGTTCTCCACAGTGACTCTTGCAGCAGTGAGCTCAAAAATGGGTTCAGTCAGGAGGAAGGGTCATTTCTGGCCATGTTGACAAAGTACATTTTAGTCAAAAATGTCTGAGATGGATTAAACCAACAAAACACTGTATGGATTCACTCCGTTTCTTTAAATGGTCATATTAAATCCTGTATACATCAAATATCCTTTGGGGTAAGAAAACCAAACCAAACCAACCTACAAGAGCAATACAATCCAGGGTGGGCACAAATGAGCTGGATCACTGCTGTTATGGTTTGAAATTTAGCAAGGCCTCACTTTTAAGCACTCAGGTTTTTCACTTTGCTTTTGATATCTGAATGGGTGCACAGTAATTTTCAGTAGCATTTTTTTTTTTGTTCACTCCAGATTACAATTTTTTTTTTTTCAGAAGTAGATGAGTTTTTTCCTAATCTGATAATCATACTTTTTTGCATTCAGTATAGGGGAAAGCTGGACAAAAATGACTATGATTCCTAATTAATGCACAATTAATTGGTGGTTAACTGGTTAGTTTTTTTGACTGGTGTATCGGAGAAGGGAATCAAATTCACTGGGGAAGTATCAGCAACACTCAACTGAACATAAAACATCTTCATTTCCTTTCAGGATAAAATGTGAAGTAGTCAACATGGCCTAAAAATCATGCACTATTTTACTTACCTATTTGTACTTTGACAAGACAAAGCATTTTCACATGGCCTTTGTAAAATATCTTTCTAGTTTGTGTGAATATAACTAGTGTTGTATGATTAATTCCTTAGAAAACACATGCACTTGTGAAGGCTATGATAAACTGAACACATTTGCTACAGGGCATCTTTAAAACACTACTGCTTGCAAGACCATCAGTTTGACAGAGCCTGCTATAGAACAAAATAGGCCAAAACTAAAACTTGGCATGCCAGCACACTTTAATTCTGTATTTGTGAAATGACTTTTCAAACTTAGGAGCTCTTTTCACTACCTTTAAAGGAAAACCCACACATACACACAAAATTCTAGCAATTCTAACACCATATTTGTTCTTTACCAACTAGCATATACCTTGTTTTAATGGTTTAAAGCAATTAAATTCCTCAAGATTGTGCATATCCAGGCATTATTGAGGAAATAAAGACACCCATCACTATTCTTCTTAAATTTTATTCCATAATAAAAAATAGAAGATGAAAGAAAGAGTGTTCAAGAATTAAAGCAATTATTGGTCAATGTAAGGAGCAGTAAACTAATTATCTAAATGATGACTAAGGACCTGGTTCATCAAAGGTACTTCTGGGTCCTCCATGGCATAGCTGTAGGCTTCTACAGCACAAAAATCCAGATTATCTTTTGCTGAAGCAGGTCCTTTATTATCTAGAGAACACTTGATTTCATATTCTATTTATCCTTCTCTTTTTGTTCTTTCTCCTTCTTTTCACGTTCAGCTTTTGCTTCCTCCTCCTCATGTTGTTTTATCAATTGTTCCACCTCCTTTTGCTTCAGAACCCTTATTACTGTCTTTCCGTTCTCTCTTGTCAGTGTTGCAATTTCAACTGAAACACATGGAACAGACAGCAGCGTTTAGGCAGAGCAATCATCAGCAGGGCAAGGTTTGAGATGACAAGTGACAGTGAGGCAGAAGGCTCCAAAGCTCCCTGTGCCACGCAGCCTGGCTGAAGGCAGCCACCCGCAGCTCCCTCCTGCAGCAGGGGAGCTCCTCACAGGGCTCTGCTCCCAGACACAGACATTCCATCCCCGAACTGCAGCCTCACCTCTGGAGCTGGCTAACAGGGCCCAGCGGCCCGGACTGAGCTATCTGAATGCCTCTTAGGCTAAGGCTGAGAACTGCTGCATCTTCTGAAAACATTTTTTTGTGACAACTAACACTCCAGTGAGCCACATCTGGAATATGTGCACTCACTGCTCCCTTTGTTTAAGCAGAGGGTGCTGTCCTGTGTAGAGAATGCTCACCTTTCTCAGCAGAGAGCTTGCTGACATCCATGGTCTTGTTTAGAACCTTAATGGCCAATGCCAGGGCAGTCTTTAAGGTCATTTCCCCTTCTTTGTAGTCTTGCTTCAGCATTGACACAGCTGCCTGTAAATTTCACAGAATTTAAAGCTGTGTCTGTGGGCAATCAACCACACAGCCAGGGTGCGGGGTTTTGCCAGATACCAACACAGGAGTTAACAGCAGCATTCCTACAATTACCTGTAAATCTCTCCCACACTAATAATCACTCAGCTTAATTAATACAGTACAATTGACACTTTTTAACTTGTCTTTTTGAGAAGAAAAAACCCAGAACTTACAGCACTATTATTTCCAATGCATGTGGCTTTCCACCCTCCATAATTTCCACTAGGATCACTTTGGTACAGCTGAAATCCATAATGCTTATCCCAGCCAATATAGAGCAATGAAACACCAAAAGGACGTTTTCCTGTTGAAAAGAAGGCTATTAGCAACCTAAATTTAGTAACAAGATTGGTCATGAGTTACAATTATTTTCTTTTGATTTTGTTTTTCAATCTATTCCTGTGAACTAGGATTTAACACAGTTCTGCACTTCTGTTGCTAGAGATAAGCACGCCAGCATTTCCTTCTAAGACATGGGGTGGGAGGCAGCAGAGGTTTATTCCATTTAACCTTAAGAGCAGTTCATTTGTGTCTCCACAAATTGTAATTTACTATCTCAGAACTTTAAATCAAAATGTACTATTTCAAGTATGTAGCTTAGCTGTTAAAGCATTTAACTTAGCAATGTCAAAAGCCAGGTAGTTTAAAAGGTACTTCTCTCCCACTACATAGATGTAAAACAACACAATCATCAGTTCACATACTGAGGAACACTATTTACAATATAATTTTCTAACATATTGCTTGAGCCACATAAACAGTACTTTTTTCAAGTGTTAGAATATTGATACCCCTACATACAGCCTTGTTTTTGATTCATTGTGCCATTATGCTGGATGGGCCCAAAATGTTGAAAGGTTGTCTAAACAATTGTCTGCTGGTCTTTTGACGGCATTCATTAAATGCAAGAGCACTCAAAGCATTCTATGCAATAAGCCAGCATCTCAGCCATCAATTACCCAAGCCATAAAAAGTAGAAGCATCAGCAGCAAAAAACAGTTACCATGACTACACATTCCCCTCTTAAATTAGGCTGTTTTTCCCTAAGTATAACTTTTTAAGAGAATTCAGTAGAACTGTCCACAGACTTAGATCCTTCACATTATGTAAGAATTGTTCTTGAGACATTTAGTAACACAATGATTCATCACACTCCATTACCTCCAAACTGTGTATAAGCCTGCTTGATATCACACAGTGCTGTTACTAGTTGTTCACAAGGAATAGGCTCTTGATACTGTAACAAATACCTAATATCAAAGAGGAAAAAAAACAGTTTTCAAAACTTGTTTTCCTGACCATATCCTGCACAACATTTAAGAGGAAACAAGTTCCCAAGTTAGAGTATCTGTGTGTTCTACTTCAACCTACTTCTGATCTACCAAATGCATGTTCATTCTGATCTAGTGCATAAAGAGAGCTGAATGTGACAGCACAGGTGAGTAAAACCATGCTAGCTGTCAGCAGACCCACCTCTGTGCAATCAGTCTCAGCTCATTTGTTAGAACATTGGCATCTGAAGTTATTCCTGCAACGCTGCACGCCATATCCCTGCAAGAAAAGCATACAAATTAACTGAATTCCTGTTAATCTCCAACCAACACTCACATCTTCATACAGAGGTTCAAGCAGAGCACCCGCTTTCTCATCAAAGCTACACAGCTGCCACACAAAATGGGTTCATCAGCTCTTGCCCTTAGGGTGCATCAAAAATATCAGTTACCATTTGCTAAGAGCAGAGGTGGACAGCCAAAGTCAGCAAGTCAGGATGTCAGTTATACCTACAGTTCTGGGAAGAGGGCCATGCCAAGGATGATGAAGTTCTGAGTGTTTTACAAGAGCTGTTAGGCACATTCATACAGGTGCCTCTCAGGAGGCCACCTGACACTGATGTCACACTGATGTGACAGGCCTTCAGTGGGAGCTGCTGGCTGACACATGGCATCTGTGTAACAAACTTCATGGTCTTGGTAGGGCCCTAAGAAAAATAAGCACTTCAATCCTTGATTGTTTTGTTGGATCTTAATTTAGTATCTCTTTAGCTCAATCTGATATGCTACAAATCTTTTGCTACACAAAAAAGATTTGTGAAATTAGGAATTCTCCAAAAGATGGAAAGGCTGTTCTAGGTGACTACTCCAGTGTGCTGTTACACTGCCTCCTTGAAAATCCAGTACTTCCTACCATTCCAGGTGCTTTCAAGATCAACATGGAATGGGAGGCAAGACAGGATGGAAACTATCTGTGGTCATTTGCAGCTTTTGTCAAGGATGAAGCTCTACCTCCCGTGCAACAAAAAAGCATAATCTATAAATCCCTTTGCTCTGACATCACAAATTTAACTTTCAGGAGCTAGAATGAAAATCATGACGGACAGATGTTTCATCTCTGCTATAACTGTGGCAAAGAAGCCTAAGGCACATTTTATCCAGTTACCTCGGACAAAAGAAAAACAGAGATGTGGAAAGCTGAAATACCATGGTAATTTTTGTGTGCCCTCTTTATTCTGCCCCCCAACGGTATTTTGTAAAGCTGAGATTTTCCAGTTTTCTTAACTGCTACAATACCATTACCTTGTATGGCATAGTACCAACAAGCAGGCTATTCCACCTAGAAAATTCTCCTGGAGATAAAAAAAACAAACCAGCAATACTTCTACTTTAGAAGGGGAACTGCTAAAGTGAACAAAGACAGAATAGTCATACTTGTCTAAAACACCAAACAAAAAGATTATTAACACTTCAAATAAAATAAGACCAGGTTATGTGCTAACCAGCACTTTGCTGGTAACATCACAGGACATTTAATCACCATTCCAACTTACTCATTAAGTTTGTATATCTTCTCTGAGAAAAACACTTCATCGAGCAGTTTGTGAATGTTGCGCCGCTCTGCTGCCAGCAGAACTCCATCGTTTGCTAGGATTCCCAGGCAAGTGCCCGCATGGCCGATGGCCTCCATGGCATACTCAACTTGGTACAGGCGACCTGGGAAAGGATTGGAATTCCTGTCATCAAAAAACGACACTGAACAAGACCAACTGCACAAGGTGACTGAAAGTTACAAGAATCTGACAAGTGCTCACTGTCCCATCTACTTCTCCAGTCTCTTACCAGTCAGTTGTAAATTAATTGACTGAAAAGGAGGAAGGATTCACAGAAGGAAAATAAGGTAATACTGAACATGGCCACTGGAGAAAAAAACCCTTTCTATAAAAAAACCAAACCACATTTCTATAGAAAAAAAATAAAAATTAAAGAACTCTGTGCAGTAGAATAACCCAAGACAAATTTTCAATAAATGAATAAAATATTTTATACTGTATTTCTTGGGTTCTTCCCATCTAAGAAGTAAGAAAACATGGTTTGTACGTACTTGTTTCAGCATGTGCAAGAATAACAAGGAGAGGCATTACTGCACCTGCAGGATATTATCCATTCTCAGGGGATAGTGACAAAATCTAACCATGCTCAAACAAGAGATAAATAGTTATTTCAAAAACATGGCACGTGATACTACTCACTAATGGGACTCAGTCTTATTATTGCTTCAATTAGAATGAATTTGAAAGTGTCCACTCCGGATCCTTGCTGTCCCTACAGAACTGGGTGTGGGCAAATATGATATCTGCAATTCATATTCAGACAGAAACATGCTACTAACAACCACCCTTTGTGCAAGTGTTTTGATAGTTTTGAGAAGACAGAACAGTTAGAGCTGACTTGAAAGTGTCGGGTAAAAAAAAATACCTTCCGGAGAAAATATGGTAGTTCTGGAGTCATATCTTCGAGACTGTAAAAGGAATAGCTCAGTAAGTATCACCAGTCTCTTGTCACCAACGCCATAAAGCCCCTATATAACAGACCCAGCCATTCGGTGACCTCGGGCTGGTCACTGGTGCCCGCAGCCGGGTCCCTACAGTGGGACCGCCGCCCGCCGCCCCCGCCCGGGCCGTGACTCGGCAGCACCCGCGGCTCAGCAAAGCTCCGGGGAAGGCGGGTCACTCACCATGGTGCCGGGGACGCGCCGCGGGCAGAGGGCAGCGCGCCGGCAGGAGAGCACAGGGCACGGGAACCGGCACCGGGCCTGCAAGAGAGCACAGGGCACGTGAACCGGGAGCCCCGGGAACCGGCACCGAGCGCACCCCGGCACGGCCCCAGGGGGCGCTGCCGCCCGCGCCCCCACTGCACAGTCATCCTCAGCGCGGCAGAACGCGAGGGCCGCGCCGCCTCCCGCACCGCACAGAGACGCGTCCCGCGCCCCACCGCCCACCCGCCGCCCGTCCTCACTCACGGCGGGCCGGAGGCAACCGCTGGGCCGGGCGGGGGGCGGCGAGGCCCAGCCGGCGGGCAAGAACCGGGCGCTGCGGCCGCGCCCGAACCTTCACCACCGCGTCGGAAATGGCCGCCGCGCCTGCGCGGTGCCTCGTGCCGGCCTGGGGCGGGGCTGGCGCGCGCGGTTCGCAGCGTCACGTGCGCGTGCCCGAGCTCCGCCGAAAGGGGCGGGAAACGGCCCCGCCCGCCGTGCGAGGGCAGGTAACGGTCACACCGCACCTCGGCGTGAGGGGGCAGGTAACGGTCACACCGCAGGTAACGGTCACACCGCAGCCCGGCGTGAGGGTGGGAAAAGAGCCCGGCTCCTGCCATGAGGGCGCATAATGGTCACGTACCCTTCCCCCCGCTGTGAGGGCGGTGATGGCCACACTCCTGCGCCCGCCGTGGGGGCGGTAATGGTTTTCTCTCCCGGGGAGATGAGTCGGGTCCCGCCCTGCCCGCGGACGCTGCCCATCCAGCTCAGACAGCGCTGCCTTTATTGCTTTATTTGTGCCTTTATTCAGTCTGGAGTCACCCCCAGTACCTCAGCAGCCACGGACCTACGGGGCAGATGCGTGGTGCGTGTACCCCTGGGCAGTCTCAAACCACTTCTTCTCCACAGCTTCCTGGCCCAACTCGAACATTGACATTAAGTGTTTCCAGCCAGTTTTTGCCGTGATTGTGAGGTATTCCTTGTTCTCTGGGTACAGAAGAGCCGTGTGGGCAGCGATGACGAGGGACTGTGCAAACCTCCCACTCACCAGGAGAAAGAGGGCACCTCTCTCCTCAGCAGTGAGCGGCAGGATGCTCTCAAACCCTGCGAGAACATGTCCCCCTACACTCAGAGGGTCTGGGCTCTCAATCATCATGTACATGATGGCTATCGCAACCTCAAACACGTAATACCCATAACTCATGTCGCTGAAGTCCAGGATGCCAGACACTCTGTACTGGGGATTCACCAGGGAAGCAGAACTGGAATCTACTAGAATATTGTGGTCATTAAGGTCTCCATGATTGATACCTAAACACAGAAGAAATAGAAACAGTATTTAATAATTATTAAACACCTGAAACAGCTTTAGGAAGATGCATGTCAAACTAACACTCAGCTACAAAACCATACTAGTCCCCTGCAGCATCAAGTGCTGCCTGTCACACCTTTACTGCTTCCCGTGAAGCTCCACTGCACTGCCAGATGACCGACAGCAGAGGAGAAGAGGAAGCGTTACGGGATGGCGCTCCAGGCTGTTGTGATCTACAGTACACTGCGTGTTCACAAACGCACAACAGTAGTTTCCAACTATAGAATTGTCACCTCATCATCAATATCAATGTAATTTGAATTCCAAAATTTGGACTAAGTACTTATTTGGGCCTTTACAAAAGGTAGCACTGTACTCTGTATATATTTAGTAAGCTGATATAACAGCATGAAAATCATAAACTTAAATGAGAGGAAACTCAGAAGAATAAAGAACTGACCCTGACTGGACAGAACATTCCTCTTGGCTTACTCTGTGCTATGTCCATATCTAGGCTAAGGAAAAGAGATTTACTTTTTTTGTTGGTTTTTTTTTTTCCTTCTCTACAGAGCCAAACTCCTGTATGAAATTTCTGTGTCTCAGTTCAACATAATTACAATGAGAATAAAATACTCACAGGCTCGGAAACTGCTTAGCTTGGGTATTACTTTGCCTTTGAACTGCTCAATAACTTGCTCCACCACTGCACAGTATTTGTTTTGGCCCAAGGCATAAATGTACTGATCTAGAAGAGGAACATTTGCCAGATTCCAAATGAACTGACCTCGATGCAGACTTTTTACCGATGGATGCTGGAATTTCTTTGGAAAAAGCACACAATAATATAGGCATGAAAAAAATTGCAGACTTTATGATTAAATGGCTTGATTCAAAACCCCTATTAATTTCAACAGGTTTCTAATAAGACTTACCAAAAAGCACCATGAGTTGGACTGTTGTTTTAGATCATGTAAAAGAATAACCTGAAGAATGACTAAAGCAAGCATCTTAATACCTACATACAGCCTGAATGGTTTTTCCCATGTTTTGGGTACAAAGATTACTTTAAGTCATTTGTCACTTCAATAACGTGAAACTGCTGTTGACTGTCCATAGGGTGATGTTAGCATAGCAACTTTCAGCCTCTTCCAAGGCCAGAGTCCCACTCTGGCAGAGCTCAGCCTACACAGCTAGGGCTGCAGAAAGCTGTGGGAGCACCAGAGACACAAAACCTGCCAGCATGCTGGGAGCAGGCACACTCTGTGCTTCTAAAGGTGGCACCTTTAGGGGACAAGCCTTAGTAACAGCTGGTGTGTGGAAAATCCTGAGCACAGTAGTTTATGGAGACACTGACCATGGCTTTATGCTTATGAAAATTTGCCTTAGTACATCCAGGCCTCGCTACTTCAAACATACAAGGTTCTTAACCCTTCTCTCACTAGCAAATGGAAAGGATGGTTTGGAAAGTGACATTCAAAGAGGAAAAGTATCTCTCCCACTACGCACACCATGCTTATCTTGGACTCCTCAAATGCTTATTAAGGTAACCTCTGGGCCAGGTTGGATCAGTGCATAGGGCAAATTAAAAAAAAAAAAAACTAACTTCCCACAAAAGTAGCTGGCCTCCTTTTAAGAAAAAAACTACAAAAATTATGTTTGTAATTAAGGCTCTTAAAGATCACTAAATGAAAGTCAAAAGTAGACAGTGTATGAACAAGTAGAGAACAAGATCAAGCCTAAACCACCTTGGTGGATGATAATCCATGTGTTAAGGGAATAAAGAGCCTTTTCCATCAGAATTGCTTCTCATTAACTACTTGCTTATTAGCAGGATCAATCACAGCATATTTTGAGGCTAGCTTATTTTAACCACATTATAAGAGTGTGACCAGTGTGTCAGAAGGCAACAGTAAGTTATCTTTCACAACTGAAAATGCTCTTGTAATTTAAGAATGTGCTTAGTAAAACTGGCAATTCACATTTCATAACTGTCTGAAGCTTGTAGCCAGAACATGAGAAGGAAAGGTTAATGAAAGGTTAATAAAATAATGTGAGGTCTTTCATGCATCAAACTTAGTACTGGCTGATTGATCAGCCTTATTATCCTGTGTAAATACAGAGTAAAGAACTTAATTTGCATTAAGACTGAGTGGAAGTGGTGCAAATGAGAAGTGCCACGAACTCTGTTGACACAGCTGGCACTGTAGGGAGAGTATCAATGTGAAATGGTCGCAAGTGCTAATGAAGAGAAGAAAGTCAGCAAGTCAAAAGGAATTCAAAATAATAGATCAGCCAGCTGAGCACTACACAAAAATCCTTTAAAACAAGCTTGGCATTCTGTTCTTCTAATTGGAGCACCCTAGGGTTCATTCTCCTTTATTTGCCAGGTTTGAAACACTAACAGGCGAGCTTTGCATAAGTAAAAAGAACTCCTTATCTCCCTATTCATGGTACAAAAATGCATTGCAGAAGGATCACCAGTACCGTGTCACTTGTCAAGTACTTGGGGAAAGGCTTTAGCCAGCTTGGAGGCTGGCACCTGAGCCATGAGGCACTGACATCTGCAATCACCAACTTGCAATTTGCAGGTCCGAAAAGCAGGCACCAAGCACGTGAGCAAATGCTGAAGAGACATGGATTAAGAGAGAAGTGTGAGGCTAAAGCATGAGAACTCACCGCTGAGAGCACTTTATCCACGCTGGCAGCGAGCCTCCCAATCTCATACAGAATCTGAGCATTGGTACTGATTTTTGCTACTGGTGTACCTGGCAGGTAAGTCAGCAATCTGACTATGTACTTCTTGCTCCCAAGTCCAGCACCTGACAAGGAAGGAGAGATGCAGTCAGTCACTCTGCTCTGTAACAGTTAATGCAAGAGGCAAAAAAGGCGTATCCCAGTGTAGAAGTTGTCAGATGTATCTCATAAAAATGCAAAGATTTGATTTGCCAGAATGTTGTGTAATGTACAAACCTTAACACACTTAGAAAATCTATGCTGAGAAAAACTCAGCACCAAGCAGGGTTCCTCCAGTGCCTGAGCACACCCACATAAAGTTTTGCAGCAGAACAGGTCTCAGGAATCCCAAATGTTGTTTGGAAGTTACAGTGACAGTAAAAGCTAAATGCCAACACCATTTTTCTCCCAAGCACTATTAAAGCAATTTATTCTGGCTTCAGGGATGGATGAGAACTGTATTTTACACCACTCTGAAGACAAATAATTTCAAGCACCACCTAGTCAATGAGGCGTTTTTAACTTTTCCTGTGCATGGACACATGTCAGATAAATGTTTTCTCCAATTCCTTAAGCCGAAGTGTTTTCCTAAGTGTTTTCGCAGTTAATTATTACTCTCTCTGAGCTGCTTTGCTTCTGGTATTTTAACTTTGGACTATTATGGCTGGAATACAGGTCACCTGATGCATACCCCTACTATTCAAACACAGGCCTAGAGTTTCCCTACAGCATACACAGAGTATGCCATACAGCAAGCTACTGCCGAGCTAAGGGTGAGAGTGGGGCAGTAAAGGTGCCCACAGTGGCTCACCTCCTGACTCCAGAGACATTATGTTACCATCTTTTGTCAGATAAGGAGTAGGTGAAGGGAAACCTTCAGCACTGAGAAACATCATGGCCTGGGTCTGTGCTTCAATGAGGTCAGGCTGCTGGCTGTCTTCTGAATTGGTGATTTTGAGGACATACTCATCAGCACCTTCAGCTGAGACACGCACGTGGAAGTTCTGATCATCATAGCTGGGGAGAGACCTGATCCAAGATACCTTCAATCCAAACACCCTGTCAACCAATTCAGCTGCCTCTCTCTCATCAAATGTAGGTTTGGTCAAGGTCTGGGGTTGACAGTCATTTCCAGAAGACATTGTGTCTCTAGGAGAAAAAGAAAAGCTGGATGATCTGATCTGTATTCTGACACCAGAAGCAGTAATGACTGCAACAAAATGCATTCAGCTACTGGAGAAGAGTTTCCTACATTTATCAAACAAGCAAAGAAAACCAACCCCCTATGCCAGCTCAGGTTTCTTACATCATAGCTTACCAAATACTTAGGCTGCAGCCCCTCAAAAGAAAGACTGCCAGAGAGATGCACTCAATCTGTTCAGAATAGCAGACATGAAGAGCTTATTAACCAAGCTTTTATTAGCTCATTTCTAGCAGCAGCCTAACCTGGTATTGTTGATAGGTAGGAATGACTCCCTCAGGAGCAGAGTTGCTGAATCCCTGATCAGAGGTCTTCAATTCGTGCTTGCAAAAGGCAAGAATCATTTTAGTAAATCATAACGTTAAAGCAGATTAAATCTTTCTGCTTGGTAACGGCCTTCCAAATTCCTGTGCTAAGAAAGGCAGCACAAACCTGCAGGAGCTCGCTCGTCTCTCGCCTGCCCAGCTGCAGCAATCTGGAGCCTCCGCGGACGGGCGCAACCCTTGGACTCGCTGGGAGCCGCGCCAACCTTTGCCCAGCCCGGGGAGGCCGAGGAACTGCAGAAGCTGCCGTCAGCAGCCGGGGCCCGGCCAGCCCGGCTCCCGCCTGCCCTGCTGGCGGCCGGAGCGCCCCGTGCTCAGCGGAACGCGGGGCTGCGCCCGCTCCGAGCGCGGCCAGGCGAGCCCGCGGCCCCCGCGCCTTACCCGGGGCCAGCGGCGCCGGAGCCTCCCCGCGGCGCCGGAGCGCTGCCCCGGGCCGTGGGCTTTGCTTGCCAGCGGCACGAGAGGGGAGGAAAGCTACGACTTCCTGTCACGAAGGCAGAACGCTAAAAACCCCTGCGCCCGCAGCGGGCAGGAGGGAACACGTACGTTTTATTCTTTTCTTTAAACCCTTTTATCAGCACACCACATCAAAATCTCCGCCAAATGCTAAGACTGAAGACCACATATAAATACATATAACAAACCTGAGGCATCTTGCTCGGGATGTCCTTAGACTGTCCCAGAGAGTTTTTACCGGGACAATAGGTCCAGTCCCAGAAAATTTGACCCTTAATGAAAATAATGACAAACCTTAAGATTAATATAGAAATATCTTCTGAAACTCCTAATGAAAAAAGGTAATCTGCTGTAGTTGACGTCCTGCTATGACAGAATTAGAAACCTGAAGAAAAAGGAATTTAGGAAAGACAGCTGAAGAACACCCAACAACCCCCCCTCCCCCCAAAACCCAAACAACACCTAAAGCATCTTAAGTAAATCAGTTAAAAATCCTCTATCACAAAATTTCAGTATTGTTTCTAATATTAGGGACCCAAAATTGAAAACATTATCTTCATCAAATGCTTATTTTAACCAAATAGGGAATTTAAAAAAAGGAAACTATTTCCCCAAGAAACAATTTTTTTTTCTCTCCAGTTTCAGAACAAATGTTAATAAAAGTATTTTACCAACTCTTCTCGCTAGAAATAACAAAATTAAGGGATTTTTTTCTACAAAGAATAGAGCTCTGTAAAATATTTAGTGTTCCCTCTCCTGATTTCTGAGGCCCTGAAGCTTTAGCTCATTGGAGTAAAATCGATAACAGTGGAAAAGTATTCTTGCTGTGGTTTAACAGCTGATTATAGAAATGAACTCCTGAGCTCTGCAAACAAGATTACAGCGCAGAGCTGTACTGCTTAGTCTTGCTTCAGTTGCCAGACTGGACTGTGAAAGCAAAGACCTGTAAACTTCTGTGCTTCTCCTGCCTGCCTGGTGCTCTGGGGGAAGCTCACTGTGGTTGTGAGGCAAGGCAGAGTTTGAAGGTTGTACTTTGGCCTGTGTTATTGACTGAAGAAAGATAGACTTGAATAATTTAGCATCCATGAGTTGAACTCCATTCTAATGCCTGTGCTGAAAGTGAGGGTTGAAGTAGGTTAGTGGTGGACATCCCCAAATCACTTCTGAGGATCTTGTCAGAGTTGTAACCTTGGCCAACAGCTTGCTTTAATACAGGATTTCATCTAGATTCTAAATGAGACATTTTTCAGAAGGGAAAGAAAAAGTTCTTAAAAAGGCACTTGATATAACATCCAGAGTGGTGTCCGGAGCACAGCTGACCCAGAGAACATCCTTCTACACCAGCTAAGCATGCTTTGTGAGCCCAAACTCACTCCTAACAAGTAAATGGAACATGCTCATATATAATACACAATATTATCCCCTTTCTTTATTCACCCCACCCCTTCACGCACAGTACCATTTTAAGTGTATTCCTTATCATCTATTCAAAATAGACAGTAACATACAAGAACTGTCATACAATTTTCTTTATTAAAAATAATTTACAACATTGGTAACATTGTATGCACAATTTTCATCAATTGAACTTAAGATATATTTATGCAATACTTACTCAACTTAAGACTGTTCTGTTGGCTTTAAACAGCAGACAGTGATTTGCAGTTGCTTAAATAGGATTAATATACATAGCTTCTTGCCTTATACTTAGGTGTAAAATGTATAAACATCAACACTATCCCAAAGCTTTGTAGTTTGGGATGGGGAGGAAGAGGGAAGCAAGAAGAGAAAACATTTACAAAAATTTCAACAAGATTCTCCCCCAAATCCAAATGGAGAGAGGTCTAAGTTAAATACATCTAAGACACTGAGTCACTTCTCAAACAGGTACACGTCCTCCTACACCTTAGGATACTAAAGAGAGATGGAACTGAATGTTTGGTGTGTGAGCACAGCAACCCTGACTGTCCCATGGCCTGCCCCTGCCAGAGGGCTCCTGCCACTCCTGCCCACCTATGGCACTCAGGGTGCCAGCAGTGTGTCCAGAGTTAAATGTCTTCCTTGGCTGCTGGCCCGCTGAGCTGCACTCTGCACAGGGGAGAGGGAACAGGGCTGTTCCCGTGGCCCATGAGCCAGGAGTTCCCCACCGCTGAGCAGATGGTACACGGGCAGTGCTGTCCCACACAGCGCCCCCAACCCACAGGGTCCAAGGGGAGGAGTCAGCCTGCCCACCTTGGAGATGCCAGTCTCAGGCTTGCTGAGAGCTGGACCTGCTGCAGCAACAATAGGAGCCTCCAGCTGAGCAGCCCCTGTGCCCAAGCACCGCTCAGAACTTCTCTCTCGTGGCCTACGGGCCACATTAGTGCAGTAGAACCAGAGCAACTGCTAAGGTAATGAAGCCAGCCCCCTGTGTCTCTGAAAAGAACTGACTTGCTTTACTGGTGACAACTCACAGGTAAGTCACATGCCTTGAAATTGCACTTCATCTCATCAATCTGCCTTGACATGGCTTGGATCCCTGTCTCCTGAAGCATGGAGAAAGGGCAGAGGGCTGTTTCCTTCAAGCATTAGTAAATGGCCATGGGGTTGCAGTTGTATCATCTGCATGAGGCACCATTATGTACCAGCGCTAAATTCCCATTTTCTCCCCAGTAACATTTCCTTGAACTAAATCAAGAATATACCTTTGAGCTGGGATAAAATAGTATCAGACACTGTTGTACAAGAAGTAGGATCTGCCCAGTCACGCTGGATAGAATTAATGGAAGTATACCACAGAACAGGAACTCGTTCAGCATTCAGTTGAATATAACATTCAAAACTGCATTGATTTATCCCCCCTTAGAAGCGGCAGGAGTCACCGGAATGGTTTTCATCTCACCTAAAAGAAAATCACATCAAACTAGTGAAATATAAAACCAGATTATACAGAACTTCAAACTTTAGTAAACTTTGTCTAACAAAACAGAAAAATAAGTATCAAATTTATGTCAATCAAATTAGTTTGGCTTTTGAACTGTCAAAAAATTAATACACTGTATTGATATAATTATCCACGAGGTTTGCAGTATTTTGGGTTTGGGGCTTTTTTTAAAGGAATGTCAAACATACTATTTCAAGATTTGAACAGTTCATGTTAGTTCACAAGTCAACTATTTCAGTATCTGGTTATAAATTAAAAGCACATGTAAATAAAGCTAATATAGTCCTCTTGAATGTTTTAATATTTAAGACAACATTTATCAAGAACAAGTCCTTAAAGCAAAATCTTGACAATTTATAGGCAAGTATTGCAGTTTTGTTCTCCAGCAGAAATTAAACTCTACACAAACTGTAAGTGGAGTTATGAAGCTTTTCAAGACAGGAGCACAGGAAGAGCCTGCTGGAGCTGCAGACTCACTTGCACAGCTCAGACACCACCAAAGCTCTGTGAAGTGGGAACACAAACCACACTGCAGCAACTCTGCATCTCCTGCCAATACAAGCTATGGAACAGAGGCTTCACCCTCGGTGTGCTGACAATTCCAGCCACAGCTGCTGCAGTGCCATGAGGGACAGGTTTGTTCAGTGCTCCGGGCTCCTCCTCAGAAGGGGATGCTCCGCAAGAGCTGGGAGCTGCCAGCACGTGAGGATGCGCTCAAAGGCAGTGCGGCCATCTGGCTCTTGAACATCTGACAAGTGTAATGTGTTAGACAGGTTGTATTTAAAGCAGAGGAATTTAAACAGCCCTACCAAATGTTTTAAAAGGCTTTAAAGGTTAAAACATTACAAGGAGGTATTTCTCTGATGATATTGCAGAGAGCACAATAAAAACAGATGTCACAAATGACCAAAGTGCATCCCTTGAAGCAGATGTGACAAACTTCAGTCGAAGGGCGTGAAGAACCATGGCTTAACCTGCATGAATTAAACAACTGGGAGATTTGTTTTTAAATGCAGAAATGCTTCCCACATTTCTAAGCACACAGAATTTTACATATTTCATAGCTTTAGCAGTTTAAATCTGGATCCAGAGGAAATATAATCCCATAAAGGTAAGGAAGTCAACATCTGTGATACAGGATACCATGGGCCTCACGTGGGCTGCTTTTTGTTCAGCCAATAACCTAAAGAAACTGAAAACTCAGTATCTTTTTTAAGCTCTGGTTTAGGAAAAAAAAAATCTGTTTGGCCTTCAAAATTCCATACCATCTTGTTACTCTTATACCAACAAACAGCAGTACACAGATTTACAGGTGCAAAAAATGAGTGGAAACAGCTGCAGAAAATCTTCTTACATAATAATCTTCAGCACAATCAGTTTCAATTTCGCATAGTTTATTTACAAAATGGTCTGATAAAACATCCCCTCCATACTTACAGCTCTCTTGTCACAATACACATGTTGATTTTAGCAATGTTTAATAGCACCATTAGAATATTATTTAAAATCAGAAAGGATCTCGTTGCAGTTACAATGATTCACAATCTTTTACATCCATGGACGAAGTAACTTTGAGCACACTAGGACTGTTTGCAGTTCCACAGTACAGATTCCTGGGTTCACACAAGGCATTTGCTGCATTACCAGTTATGCAGGGTACCCAGAGAGTCAGTAGGTACTATAAGAATCTTCGAGCCACAAAGTTTAGACTTCCACCATTCTTGTATAAAGTTATCTCCATATTGTTTTCAAACAAGGCAATCACGCTGAATACTTTTCCAGTACTTGTCTTCAAAAGAAAAGCAAAAAAGAGAAACCAATTAAGCTTTGCTTTCACTTCCCCTTGCTTCTTTCTTAGTCAACGTTCTAACCCCAAGTTTTGCTGAACACAGAACACAAGCAAGTTCAGCCCTCTGATGTGCCCATACAGCCCCAAGCCTGCTGGGGCCAGATGGAAGGAAGGCTTGTTGTAGTGCAGCTGGGAGCACGCCAGGGGCCTGTTGGTAACCACAGAACACCCTGTCCCTAAGATGGCACAAAGTGTGTCACGGGCTTGTTTACACAGCACAGAGAGCTGAAGCCTCTCTCAAATGATCACCCTTATGAGAGACAGACTCAATTCTACCCTAAGACCAAGCCCACGAGGGGCAAAATACCACTCAGAATGATCAAGAATATCAGGCTGCGTACAAAGTTGTATACAAAGAACATGTGTATATGTACTTTGGGAAACTCCAATAGCCATGGCAAACTTCAGGCAGGGCAATAAGCTTACCTTCCAAGAGAATTAAGTTCTGTCTTTTCTTGCTTTGCTTCCTATCATCAGAATTAAGTTTGTTTTATCTGCATCAGAACACTCAACAGATAAATTAAAATTATTGCACAGATACCTTAATATCCACGGTCATTCTGGGCGACAGGTCTGGAGGGAACAATATAGAAAATTGCTCTCTGCCAGTGAGTCCCAAAGTACTTGGATTTTCCCCAGGACGAAACTGAAGTGGAGCGATGCCAATTCCAATCAGCTGACTCCTATGAACCTTCTCATAGCTCTCAGCTAGGACAGCTTTAACACCCTGCAAAAATACAAGCAGAGTGAAACACAGAAGTAACCTTCAAACACAGATTATGTCGAACATCTCACAACTCAAACTCAAGAGAGAGTGCTTTGCACAGGGTCCTTTAAGTACCTTGGAAACATCATTTAGTAGCTTCCCAGCTAGATGGGAGCAAACAAGCCAGAGCAGGCCCATGCAGTGTGAAATGGAGCTTGTTACAGACAGTGACCATGCTGGGGTTACCAGGACAGGAATCAATGGCTGACTTGGAATATATTCTCAATATTAGTGGAAATTAGCCTCCAACAATGAGACACTGAACACCCCATGGAGACAAAACAGAGATCAGCACAGACAAATGCCTGATTTGTCTCAAAGTCTGGTAACCAAGACAGTAAATTACATGAGGAAATTCAGATCTATCCTGACTAGTGATTCTCTTCCATGAAGATTCTAACAAAGAAATTATACAATGTGTTTTTAGGTATTTCCAGAGAAAACAAAACTACCCCAAAACCCCAACAAACCAGCAGTACCAGTAGAAAAGGCCCTTTTGCAGCCCAGTCTCTTGAGCTACCCAGTCCATACTTCTTTCCTGCTAGAATAATTACAGGAATGCCTTCCTTCTGGTACAGCTCTGCGGCTTCAAACACATCTAGCTGTGGAATGACAAAATGACATATTTTGAGTGAGTTCTAAACCTGCACTCACTATTCCAGAGTAGCTGTGCAAACAAATATATTCCTACCGTTTGTCCTGATGGGAAGTGAATTGTTTTAGGAGCTGGTTTTCCTATGAACTTATTCAGAAGCTTGATATTTGCAAAGGTACCTCTTGTCATCACAGCATCATTACCTCTTCGAGCCCCATAAGAGTTGAATTCACGAGGTGTGAGTCTGAAATAAAAAACAAATTGAAAGAAATCAGTTAAAGATGATCTGATTTAAAAGGATATTATGATTTTTTCTTATAATTATTGCAGCATACCTAAGTCTTTAGTGGAAGATGTAAAGAACTGGATCTCCAATGAAAGTAATTATTATAAATCATAGACAACGTGCAAATTGCTGCTAGGTTACTCCTGAGGAAAGCTGCAATTTTAAATTAATTTTCTACAACTTTTTATGAAATGCAGCAAGCAGTGTGGTACTTACAGAAGAATTATGGGGAGACTGCTCTAGGAAACAACCCACCTTACTAATCCTCTTAACCATTACCAGCATATTTATTAACATTGATTAAGTATTTTGCTTTTCCACATGTAGTCTCCCCTTTCTGCAGACAGGCATTTCTAGAGAAGGTGGCAATGCTGATCAATTATTCAGCAGGGCTCACCCTTTGCTGGTCAGGTACTTGGCAGCAGCACTGCTCCTCGCAATGCTCCCAGCAGGGGAAATGTGATCTGTGGTGACAGAGTCCCCCAGGAACAGCAACACGTGCGCGTTCTCAACCGCCTGTGCTGGAACTGCTTCTTTGGCCTGACAGGGCGGGGGGGAACAACAACAGAAGGGAACAAAAGGAACATTAAACATTTTCTTCCAGGAACTAGAGACATAAAACATATCTGCAGTATAGGAAGGCCCCTGGATGGACAGGCCCTACTCATTCCAGAGACACAAATATTTCACAGACTGAGAAATATGAGTGATAATTTAATTTGTTGGTTCAACATTGAAGGTTTGCTGTAACAGCTATTCCTCTACTTAAATGCAATGCATATGATCTAGTGGATAAATCCACTCTACTTACAAGTTTATCAAAAAAGGAAGGACATCTAATATAAGTAGATTTTAAATCCCAGGGAAATAAAATTGACTCTGGTGCTTCCAGTAAATTCCATCGTTTGTTTCCTTTCTACAAGAAAGAAAATTAATCAAAAATAACAGAAGTTAGTTTATTGTATTTTACACTCAAAAACGAAAGACATACCAGTGATTTTATTATTTACTATTATTTAGTAAATAATTTTCTATTACATATTACATGTTACATCACTGGGTATTACTTAGGAATTGCTTTTAAATACAAGTACCCATCTCAGTTAAGCCCTCCACTACTATAACAGAAATAAATGGCAAAGCAATCACATTCAACTGCAAGATATTAAAGCTACAATGAAATGCAACCTTTAAATTATGTAGAACAGACCACTCTTACCTCCATCTTTTCTTTCAATTCCTTAAACATGGATGATATCACACGCTCTTCCTCCACTGTGTGAAGTTCTTGTCGGGTGGGCCAAATATCTCGTAAGTAAATACTTTTGCCATTAAAGCCAGTGCCTGTGTAAGATTTTAAACACAACAGGAGTTTGGAAGAATAAACTACTAGACTTGAGATTTGTATTAGAATACAGATGTGTATAAATTCAGGCCTGCAGAGATGGTACCAGATAGGCAAAGAATTTGATCCGTTAAGTGAATGCTTCGCTTTAGCCACGCACAAACCAAACACGGCTGTGCTTTCTCTTCAGATGCATTGGCTCTGGGTGCTGCCATCATGTGTGGGTATCTGTGCCCAGGCGCACCAGCTGCAGGAGCTGTAGGCAAACACTCACCCAAGGGCTCTGTGTCGAAGTCTATCTGCACCGTGCCCGCGATGGCGTAGGCCACGACCAGCGGGGGGGACGCCAGGTAGTTGGCACGGACACAGTCACACAGGCGGCCCTCGAAGTTCTTTGTGCCAGACAACACCCCACAGGCAATGATATCTCCCTGAAAGACAGGCCCAGTTTGGAGTACTTCAACAGCTTCGGCTACTTCTATTGACTAAGTCAGATGTGCTTTCAGCATTGCACTTCATATATTTAACATAACAACTGAAAGGCATTTTGCTCTCTCTCACTACCCTTCTCATTTTCTTTTTTGACCCTCTGATGTGCCTTCCTGTCGCTTCATTCAACTCCTCTCCTGCCATTTATTTATTTTTCTTCTGCTTCAGAAGAGAAAAAAGCTGTAGCTGTTTAGACAGTGCTGGTTAAAATTATTCAAGCACATTAAAACCCTCTTCTTCACTTATGATACAAAATCTACACATTGCATCCTCTGCAAGATTAGATCATATGAATTCATCTTGTAATTTATAACTGTATTTTACAAATACCACTTATTACATTTATTTTACACAGCAATTAATTGGCATGGTCTCCCTCTAACAAGCAAATACGCCAACACTATCATGTTAAGTCCAAACCACAAATGAAGTGTACTTTGCATGGGTTACTGTATTTCTTGATTGCTAAACAGGGTGAGAAATACATTTCTGTGTTCAACAAGCCAGCCAGAACTTTACCTGTTTTATTGCATTCCTGATGGCTTCTGGCAAAGGGGCCGTGTTCCCAACACAGGTGGAACACCCATAACCAACAACCTCAAACCTGCATGGGAAAAACCAATCAAGTCAACACATGGTCATGAGCAATTTGTTAACATAACTGCTTTTTCTTTTATTAACAATCCCCAAGAATTTTTTGTCCCTTGATAGTTAAGGCTTTTTTAGAAAATGAACAACAGACACTACATGTCACTGATGCAAACCACAGCTGGGCACTGTTACAGAATATTGAACATATTCTGTTACTGCTACAGAGCAACCAAAACCATTAACTAAACAACCCTTGAAAGCAGCAATGATAAGAGAAGACAAATACAGACCGTCCTGACAAATCTGCATCCAGCTTCCACTTTTAGAATACATTATCAAGCACATTCTGTCCTGCAAGTCACTTAAAATGAAGTAATTTGTGACTGGAAAAACAGCTCTGATGTATTAGAACTACATATCATAAATTTTGAAGTGGGAATACAATGAAGCAGAATAATTTTAAGTCAGCAAGGAAGCAAATCAGCAATCTATTAAGTCAGGAATTAGCCAGACCCCAATGAACAGCAATCCTATTTATCAGCCTGTACAGCCCCCGTATGCACCACCTGCCCAAAGGTACCCTGAGCCAGGCCTTACCCAAGCTTGCTGAGGTATGGCAATACTCCACTGGAACTGAGGTAATGTGTAACCATGCCACTGCCAGGTGATAAACTTGTTCTGATGTAGGGCTTCACCACGAGGCCAGCCTCAACAGCTTTTTTGGCCAGCAGTCCTACCAAACAAAAAGGAAAAAAGGACACAGATTATGATTTCTATATCCCTTCATAGGACATCTGTATGGTTCTACCTTAGTTAAACCAAGCATAAAAACCCCCAGTGGATTAGACAATTTTCAGTTTATTAAACTATTCAAGCAATCAGTGGCCTGAATAGTTTCTTAATGCATACCAATACCATGCATAATTTTATTCCCATTCCTGGAAGGTAGACACCCATTTTACTTTCTCTAAGACAAATCTCTTTACCATGTTCTAGCTCACAGTGCCAATCCATTCAGCCTCCAGAGACAGGCCACACAGCCCTAAGGGGAAGCTCTCCTTGGCCACAGAGCATCTTAAAAAGAGGAGAGCAAGGTCTGACAGATGAGCTGTTCCAGCAAAACCATCTGCAGCTTGAGAAGGTGCGGCAGATACCCCTGAAGCAATGACAGAACAACTACTCAACAATACAGAGTTTCTGTGCTGCCTGTGGCATGACAGCTCATCAGCCAGGACAGGCTTGAAGCTAAAGCCCACCTCCTGCATCAGCTGTGGCACTGTGCACTGACAGGAGCCCTACCACTGCTTGCTTGCTGTCATACTGTGAAATGTAAAGATTTTATAACTGTTCTCCTTAATACTGCTTTATGGGACAAGCTTAGATTGTATTGTGGAAAAGCAACTTTCCCTATATAACCTAGCCAGAACCCACAAGTCTGCAGTTTCAAACCTGTAAAGAGAACCTACAGAAGTGAAGGTGAGGACTGTGAAACATGGGAGCACCATTAAGATGCTGAGCTGTCTGGTCCCAACATACCTGCAGCAAGCATGACAGATGGATTGCAATTGTTTGTACAGCTGATGACTGCAGCAATGACAACACAGCCGTGGGACAGCTTGTATTCATTTCCTTCATACTGAACAGGCACAATGTCATTTTGCTTCTCAGCTGCAATCTGAAACCCTTTAACACCAGACTGGATGACAAAAGTACATGTTAGCAGTTGTTACAGTACAGAAAGGATGACATTACAGCAAGACCAAGTGAACACTGGTTTTGAAATAATACTCAGCTGTGCCACTAGGAACCCTTACATGATTTTAAAAGCAGCCCTCAGCTCATGTCCCTCTGTTTGTACATGGGTCTCAGCCTTCTTCCTTCACAACTGCTTTAACTTTGCAACAGTTGTGAACAAATGTCAGTCTGTGTGTGGCTGTTCCACAACTCACTTCCTTGTGTACATGGAAGAACATCTCCTCAAGAACAAATACTTGCTCCTGAATTAGAAGCATGTCCAAGATTTTAATTGCAAGAGGGTGGTAACTAAACCAGAGTAGGTCCATTAGCATTTTCCACATTCACCTGAGTGCTCTTCAGGACTCAAACTTCCTCCAGAGGTCACTTTCAACCTCACCCATTGTCTTCCACCATCAGCTATGACCTCCCTCCAGCACAAATGAACCACAGTACCACAGGCCTCATTATAAGCTGTTTCTAATACTGCTGTAAGTCTTGAACATTAATGATAAATAAAATGAAGGTATATTCCTATATTAGCTGCACTCTTCAGATACCCAAGGATACCCCTAACCAAAACCAGAACCTTCAGAGTAAAAACATTTATTCTGTGAAGACAAATTAAGCTGTAAGGAAAAATCATTTGCTAATGTAAGAACTCAGAACACTCAGCTACAAATATTGGCAGTCTTTCTGCATCTCCTTTAAGGCATGATAGTTTTCTTAGGGTAAATTCTGTTTCGGAAATTAAGTAATATAAAACTGCTTAAAAAAACCCTGAAAAAGTGAAAATATTTGCTAAGCTCACACTATGGACTACCTAAAGTTCCTTCTCCCTAGCAATCTAAACTGTGAAATTAAGGACTTTGGGAAGGTCATGTTCCTGCCAAACACACCTATTATTTACTCTTGGGATGCCTGTCAAGCAAGAACAGAACACCCTGGATAAGCAGTTGTGTAGCAATAGGGAAGGCTCAGTAGGTATGCAAGGAATAGATAACACAACATTTATTCAGGTGAATGATAGGAAATACCTTTTGAAGCAAGCATCAGCAATACAAACCTTTTCATTTAAGCAGGCTTGGAAGTCACTTTTCATGTTATTAACAGCCACTCTATCCTGGGATCTCTTGGGGCCACTGACATATGGAATTATAGAACTTAGACTAACTTGCACTACCTAAGAAACCAAGAAACAGAAAGTGCAGGCATTACCAACCCCAGCCCACCAGTGCATGGAATATATTCCCGAGACACCCAGCAACTCTTGTTCCAAATTTCAATGCTCTCAGACATCCAGAACTCTGGGATTCCATTTTCAACACCATTCACTCAAGAGGCTATTCCTCTCATTCCAAATGTTTTAACATTATCCGTAACTTTTCTACCTTTTGCAGTCCTTGGGATGACTGGAATTCAGTTTCTGTACTAACATAATGTTACTGTGCTTCCCTTCTTATCCCCACCCCCTCTACGTTTTACAAACTCTGCTTTCTCAAAACTCTGAGTTAATAAAAACAACTTTGCTGAAAGCAATGGAAGTTGCAGTGGGAGGTAGGACTGAAATCATCAGTAGTTTTTTATGAGAATCAAACAAACAACTCCTTTCAAGCATACCTGGGAATACTCAGGTTCTCTGGAAGAACTCTCATCATTTCGAAATAACTTCACAGCTTTAAGATATGCTTCTGTGACTTCAAGCTTGGCCTTATCAAAACCTAAGGAAGGTCATGTCAAACATGAGAAAAGTCACAGTAAAGACATAAATAAAATAAATCACACAACTACCGGACACTCAGATTGTTTTAAGTGTAATATTCAAAGTACTTTCTTTTCAAGTACACCACTTCCGTATCCCAACTTCTATTCAGGAATGACACACAAATTAAAACATTTATAAATGATTACATTTTTTTCTAAATTATATTGTCTTCTTATGTCAAGGAACAAAATAAGCTATTGCAACTCTAGCAGTGGTAACTCTTACTAAATTGACAGTTGTGTCCCTGAAATCCATAAGGCTTTTCTGTGTTAGGGCTTCCTGGTCTAACACAGACCCTGTGCTCAGCTGACAACAGGCAGTACTGCTGGCTGCTCTTCCAAACCCATTCACCTGCTCCGCACTGATCAGACAAAAACATTTGCTATTGAAAGCATTTAACTCTGATTTGAAAGTGAAGGTTTCAGTCTCAGAAAGTCTCACTCATGAATGAGCTTTTTTTGGCATCTGTCACCCTGTGGTTTCCTGTTTGCAGTAGCTTGATAAGGAACTGACATCCACCTTGCTGAGCTTGAGATGCCAGTGAAACCATGCACTTCAAAGGGAAACATAAACCACTGGGAAAAATCAGAGACGTGTTCACATTTGTTCTGCAGTTTCACTTATTTCTAGTAATCACTTTAAATTTTGATTTTGTAGGGAATCTCCAGGTGGTTATGGGATTCATTTCAAATCAAGAAGAGTTACATTCCATACATATTTCAAAGTAAGTGAAAACTTCCTTAATATTTTTATAGGCTTACCTATGCTTCCAAAAACCAGGACTCTGGATGTTGGAAAGCAGTATCATGTTGGTAATTTGGGCATTAGACAAATGGACCAGACTGGACACAAACCTCAAGCACAAGTCTAATTACATGTTAAATACACATCAGAACTTTGCAGAAAAGCACCACGTAAGAATTAAGGAGCTTTAAGCAAAAACTCAGTGGTTCTTACACTGGGTTTTTCTGCAGAGTAAAAAACATATTACCACAACTGAAAACCACAATTACAATGAATCCTTGCTTTAGTTTAATATTTACCTGCATGCTTTAAGTGCTTCAATGTCACATTATCAACAGGGAAAAAACTCAGAATAGCACCATATTCAGGACACATATTTGCTATCGTGGTTCGGTCTGCTACAGACAGCTGGGAAACACCACTCCCAAAAAACTCAACAAATTTTCCAGCGACATCAGCTTGTCTAAGATGCTGTTGGAAAGAAAACACAATACCTGCTCTATGAAGACGTACAGTGCAAGCTGTGTTTGGCACAATTCACAAGCATTTAAAACAAAAAGTTGAAACCCTAAGGCCCATGTTTGAAAAAAAAAATTATTATGAATTATTTTTAGTTAAAGAGGGTCTATAAGCAAACCACTATAGAGGGGAAAGAAAAAAACCCTCACTACTTCAAAGGACTAGCAAATAAAAATGGTTAGAGATTATTTGTACCTTTCTGCACTGCCACGATTAAAGGCATACTAAAAACACTCCCCTCACTTAATTCATTTTTCAAGCAACACTGGTAGTACTTGCATTAATCTCTCTTTTGTTTGAAAAGGCATTGAAGTCTTACCTTTGTAATGCTGAGAACGATATCTATGGATGTGGCAAAGGGGCTGACTGTGCCTGTCAGCTCACAGCCCACCACCTCAGGCAGGGTGAGGGTGAGCGGCATTCCCAGCATGACCGCTTCCGTCTCGATGCCCCCGACGCCTGCAGGGAGAGTGGGACACAGCTGGTCACACCTCCACCAACCTACACCCCGTGTGTTCAGTCCGAAAAAATAATAAACCCCTTTATATAAAGACTAAAGATTCATGACAATAAACATATTGCTGCTTTTCTCTCACAAATGAAGGGCATTGCTCCATTTCCAACGAGGGCACAGCAAGAAATTTAGAAGTTCCATTAAATATTTGCATATCAAAAATAAAATCAAGCAAGACTATTGCTCAAGTTAGACATCACAGTCAACTAGAAAATATTTTATATCTAAAACTAATCTGTGAGAAAAGAAACCTTCACACAAATTTCTGCTGTACAAACAGTACCTATTTAAATATCAGCTGGTTTTTGGTTGTTTTCTCTTTAAATTACAAGGGATTAATTACAATCCTCAATGGAAAGAAATGTTATTCAAGATTACTTGTACACAAAAAAGATTCAGAACAATAATTCAAGACAGTCTGTTATGCTTGAGATAGAAATACCCAGTGAGAAGAAATGTTTTTTAGTGAAGCTTTAGTTGCCTTTCTAAGAGCAATGAAGTTCTGAGCATACTTACCCCAGCCCAAGATACCCAAGCCATTTACCATGGTTGTGTGCGAGTCTGTGCCAACCACGCTATCGGGATGCAGGAAATCTTTCACGTCAAAAACCACTCGAGACAAATATTCCAAGTTCACTTGATGCGCCATTCCAGTCTCGGGTGGAATTATGGAAATATTCTCAAAAACTTTTGAACTCCACTGTAATTTTTCCAAAAGGAGAATAAAAGAGTTGCATTTTTTTCAAAGCTATATTCAATTCTTAGAACATAACTAAAAAGACAAACCAAAGACACAATGAAAGAGCCCTTGCTATTTACCCAAGTGGCTTTTGTCCCTTTGTCAAACAGAGGTGTGTGATCTCCTCGGATACATTCTTAATCATCGACAAAAGCTTTCACTCAATTCCTCTGAAGGCCGAAATCAGTAATTCATGCCCCTTTCAAAAGCAGGGCTGCAGAAATCTCTTACCTTTCAGTTCATACAACTGATTACAAGCCCACCTAAGGCTGGTATTCAGACAACAGAACCTAAGCACTTGTATCTATAGCAGAATTTATATTTATAGCGTAACTGAGTTTAGGTTTGACACTCCAGGGTGAAACTGCCTGCAAATTCAGGATGGTACATTTAATAGAGTAGACACGGAAACTTCTAACAAGATTCAGCCTGGCCATTTCCTTCTTTAATAATGTAAAAGCTAATTTGCGACTTCCAGAAAGAAACCTCTAGTCTACATCCATGAAAAGGTTTAGATCATTGCAGTGAATTCCTAAACATCAAAACGGAGGATGAGGATCAAATAGGAATGTTGCAGAGCCCTGCCCAGCAGCAGGACTTCTGCTGCTCAGTTTGAGAGCAGCCATGTCTGAACACTGGTCTCCACTCAGCACTTCCAATTTAAGGAACTTTTGTTAACAGTTATGGATAAATGACTCTTTCAGCCAGAAACTCACTGTGACCTAAGGCACTGAGCTCATGAAAGGCATTAAAAACACCAGTGCTTCATAAATCCCCACTGACCAAATCTCAAGAACCAAATCAGAGTAAACTTTTTCAAGTCAGAAAGCTAGTTTTCTTTTTTTGTTTAAATTCAGATTTGAAAACCTGACATTTCCAAATGATTACATTTAATTTATCATCTAAACCTCAATACTGGTGGACAAATGACTCTTAAACCACAAAGCCTGCAGGTACACAGACATACCTTAAAAAATTGAAGCCTCTCTCTATTTCTGCCAAATTCCATCTCTTGATTTTTCAATACTGTCTCAGGCCTAGAAAGAAAACAAGTTTACAAGTACTGTCATAAATTATTTCAAATTACAGAAGAACAAGTTGTAGTTTTAGTTTATTTGATGAAAGACTTATTTAAGCCTGCAGGACTCTTTGAAGAGGTTTATTAGAACATAGATAGCTTGCTGCAGGGAAGCAATTTTCTGTAAACAATGAGATCTAGCTGATTTCATCTATGCTGTATCTGAGAACCTGTTTATTCTAGGTATGGTTTGCCTAAAGTGGGTGATCTCAAAAATACTTTGAAAGACCTATTCCAAGCATGTACTACAATACACAGGGGCTTTTGCTCCCTAGCAGTTAACTCACAGGCTGCACATTTCAAAACTTTGTAACATTAAAGAACCAAGATGTTCACTAGTTTAATTGTAACTATCCTCCATTTTTGTATTTTCCTCCAAGCCACAAGTTTTTCTTCACAAGTACTCATCAGTACAGTCTCATAAAATGAACTATTTTTTCTTTGTATGTCTTATTTATTAAGATGCTGATACTTTTTGTAACAGAGTAATCCATAACTTAAGAGGAATAACCTCTGCTTTGAGCAGCTGAACAAGGAAGGGAACACGCTTGCTTTTTACCAGGAAGGAAGTCTTCAATTCTTAGAACTGTATTTCACTTTGAGGTCATGACCCTTCCCTTTCTTCTCAGCAGCAGGTCAGCAGCTCTCCTGCTTCACCAAGCCCCAAGGGACAGTCAGCGTTCACCCTACAGCTTCATAAATAGCACTGCTGGTGTGCTATCAGAACACCAACGGTGCTGAAAACATCACTCCTCCTGCATTCCTGCACCTGCACTGAGCAGGAGCATTTCCACATCCATAATGCTACCACAGCATTCCACACATTATCACTGTGGGATACAGATCTGATCAGCTCTTTAATTGTACACCTGTCCAGCACAGGCAGATAGGGATCTCAACAGTCCATCAGACAAAGAGGCAGCAGCTGAAGGAGGACAATTACGCCTAACTGGCATAGATGGAACAGTGCACAACGACCTGTTAGTAACACAGAAATCTGGGAGAGGCACAGACATGAGGCTCTCCTGGGCTACTACACAGGCAGGATATTTACTGAATTTCAGTTCAATGCCAGATAGACTGTAAGATCCTGTACACATTGGATGATGTAGAGGCTAGTTCTTTGTTCTTTAAGAGCAAGAGACTTATGAAAAGTTATTACAAAAATCTGTGAGTCACTTTTAGAGATAAATTAATGCTTCATTGAGTTATTCAATCAGGCTTGCTTTGCAACAGACTGAGAATTACTCCTGTGCTTAGTTGTTGTTGTAAAGAAATGAGAGAAGTAGTAATATTTAATTTAAAAGTCACAGCCATGAGCCAATAGGCGGCCATCTGCAGAGTGTACAGTAAAGCTCTTGTAAAAAGCAAAATTTGTAGACTAATTCTTAACTGCTACATCCAACCTACTTCTAGATACTAAAACAACTTATCTATGGCATGGGTGAAAACTATACAGGGGTGTTTAAAAAAAAAAATCCCATTTCCCTGAGCTGTCACAGGCACAACACACAGGTACAAGGCAATTTAGCAAAGGAGCTTTCTTACTCAGGCACAGGCTGCAGGTGGAAGGGGCAGAGGATCGGGGTGTTCTCGATCTGCGCAGAGAAGAGTCCCGGGCTGCGGCCGGCCTCGCCCGCGCCGCACGAGCCCCGGCAGCCGCTGTGGCCCCGGCACGGGGGCGGCTTCCGCAGCGGCGGCTTCAGCGGGGACAGCCTGGCCAGCGGCTTCTGCTCGCCCCCACCGGGGTTGGGAGCGTTCTGGATTGCACTGCAACATCAAATACAGCATCCACTGAGACACTGGTAAGCTGCTTCTTCGTGAACACACCCCGCACCCCCCCACTTGTGTTTTTTGCAATCTCTTCAACAGATTATAAAATGGTATCTGAAAAAAGGGAGTTGTTTTATTACAACCCTGTTGCAAAGTAAACTGTCGCTGGATAAACTTAGTTAAGTAATGTAGTGTGGTAAGAAGTGAACAGAACTGGATTGTCTGAAAGATTAACACCAAACAACTCCTTCCATTTGTTCACAACAGAGCAGAAATCTTTCTAAACAGCATTTCAAAGGCTGAACTCAAGAGTTTTGGACTTGGAAGGTGTCGGTAGAGTCCATACAAATGGTAGACTGAACTTATTTCCTTTTTTTTAAGACAGTACTGTACATGTTCTATTAAAACCACAGAGGAATGATTGCAGGAAAAGCTTTCTCAAGGAATAAACATAACCTGATCATAATTAGGCTTTTAATACAAATTCTCGAAGGCACAGCTAAATTGTATACATTATTCAAGCCAGTCAGAAGTAAGAGAGAAAAGCCAGGTATTTTTTTTTAAATAAAGTCCACATAGCACACTTCTATTGGTGCAACATTTGGTCTCTGCAGGAGAGCAAAGAAAGCTTATTGTGAAAAACTAATGACTTTCACCTCTCTCCGTAATTATTAAATCACAAAATCGCAATTAAAGCCACTGCTTTCTTCTGCCTCAGTAACACAGCCAGATCCTTAGTTATCCCAAGTGCAGGGTATTGCCTGGCCCCAGCAGATACCTTGTCTAAATCCCACTGCAGCCCACCAGGCTGTAACCCACAGATGGGAGCTCTCTATAAAAGCAGCACAAATCACCCGGCAGCGAAGGCTTTCTTATCACAGGCCAGCAGCTGCTGAGCCCCCACAGCTTCCCAAAGGGACACTCCAGAGGCCGGATTTATCATTACAAAGCAGCAAGCGGAGACCTCTTGCCAACACTTGGTCTGCCTGATAATTTTAGGCTGGCCTAATTGCAAAAGAATCAGCTGTCCCTCTGGACACAGGCATGGACAGAGCACAGAAGTGACACAACACATATGCAGGACAACACATCATCTGCAGTTTCTTGCTCTTCTGACACGTGCAAACTGAAACTCTGTGAGTATTTGGAAGGTTGACAGAAATTACTCACATCCATATCCTTCAACCACAGGCTTTTTCCCCATGAACTTTTAAAATTTCCAAAGAGCCTGAGCAGTTTATACAATTCTGCATGCGTTTTAGAAGGCTCCACAATTGAGAGGCAGGGGAGAAGGTGAAGGGAGGCTGCATTATTTAGTATTTACTTCAGCAAATACTAAACAAAAGCTCCAAGTTCTTCCTCTTGTGCAGTATTTATGTTTCTAGCAAAGGCAGCCCCAGGCTGTGTTCATCACATCACAGCCTGTCAGGCTAAGAAAACCATGCCGGTAGCTTTCCAGTCCCCTTACTTTTCCAGACTTCTCCAAGTATACTTCTCTCTGAAAATATCCCTAGCCTCATTTATCTGGGGTTAAAGCAAAGCCCATAAAAACCCACACCAGTCACAAGCCATGGGCTGCAATGACAGCCTTTCAAAATGCCCAGTAAAATTGCAGGCCCCTTCTCTGGAGCTGTGACAAGGCAGCCACGTTTGGAAACAAAGTTCTGTTTAACTTGAAGAATCAAATCAGAGCGAAGCAAAACAACAAACGCCCTCTGCCTCATTCTCTTGATACATGTTATTTTCTGGAAACCATGCCAGATCCTGTTATTTCAACAAAATCTTGCCCAGAATTTGGATTATCAGTCAGCTTCACCCATAAGGTCTCACAAACATTCTTTCTCTCCCTCAAGAGTGCTTATCCATTTTTATCCAGCCCTTTTTCATATACCACCACATTTTGTTTTAGGGATCCACATATGGCAAATGATTTGATGGGATAGTAACAAGACCTGAATGAATCCCCACTTCAGTGCCACACAGAAATGCATGGCTTGTAAAAATAAAATAAAAACAAGTATGTTACCATTTGCTGAAATCAATCTGCAGAGAATGGTCAACAGTGAGATCAGTTGGGCAGGCAGGATTGACTTTCACTGGATCTCCTCCAGCATTTCTCACAGCTTCCCTCATGGCAGCAAAATCCACCATTGCTGGAATTCCACTGACAGACAAAAACAAAAAAGTAAAACACCATGAGACATTAACTTGCTGAAATGCACAAACTTCTTTTTCATTTTATCCAAATCTAGAAGTAGCTATATCCTATTTCAGAAAATACACCTGTTATTCTCTAAAGTTTAAAGGCCTTGAACCATTTTTAAAGTCACTGGAGTTGGTACACCCTCTCAATGAGCAACAGTGTGTCTGAAGGCAATGTACCAAACAAGAACATGGAACCATCTCAAAGATAACCACACTTCTCTTGTGCCTTGCTTTGCTTCTCAGGTGTGATGGTACAGCAGTACAGAAGCGATCTTTAGATACTCCTTACCTTTACAACAGTACCTCGTTATGCAAGCAAAGCTCATGCTATACATTTAACACCTCAGCCTGTATCATTTGTCTAACAGAGCTATTTCTGAAGCTTGTAGCATTTCACAATATTTGTACTGCTGTACAAAACAGAGGCAATGTTTATAGACCACAGTAGTATGTAAATCTTATTGGCTTTGCCAGCTAAGCAAATGTTACCTCATTTTTATTATCATCATAATTCCTTTTTTAATGATCTCAATAAATATACAGAGTCAGCAGAACAGCTTAAATTGAGTATTTGCAAATTGCTGAAGGACTGTCCTTTTAGCTATGCTACAAGAAGGTTAACATCCTAAGAGGCTGCTTTTTCTATATATGTATTATTCATGGATTCAACTGGATTACTCATTGTGGAGTAAGCAATATCTAATCTTCAATTATCTCCAAGAAGAACTATCAGTGACAGTGTGAACTGCCACCTGCCTGGCTACAGCCAAAAAATCACCACTTCCCTTTGTATTCTGGCTCTTATCCTGTAAAGTGCTCCTTGCAGGCCAGCAGTTTCAGCCTTGCCAACCTGCCCCAAAGCCAGAGTACCCTAAGGAACAACTCATACCCTTGCATCATATGGAATTATCATGAGAAATCTACTGCACAGCAGAGGCAGCACACAGGTTTCTACCTGGGTATCAAGAGGGGAAGTGTGATTTGTTCTCATGCCAAAGAATTCAACACAAACTCAGTGAGTTGGCAAAGGCTCTTTTGGGGGTTTTGCACACACCCACATACTTACGTGAAGTCTTGAAGAACAACTCTGGCAGGACAGAAGGGCACTTCAACATGGTTCTGTTTTGTTTTCCAGTCCAAGATGTTCATAGCATCCGTCTCCTTCACTAAGAAGCCATCACAGTTACGGACACTGGACTCAAACAACACTCGGATGGAGTAAGGCAGAGTATCTGGGGTGAGGCAAGGGAGAGACCCCATGAGCACAGCACTTGCAGCTTACACAGTTTTTTGAAATTATAATCTCACATTTCTAAGGAATTCCACTTTTCTAGGGTTTGGAAGGATGAGAGCTTCAGGAGCCTGCTTTTCCAGTTGTCTTTGGGTTTGATATTCCCTACACAATATGGAACAGAGAGTTGCAAAACTCTCTGTACACATTGATGCATTATCCTATGGGATTTTAACGGGAGATCCCAATGGCTTGTGCACACTGTTCAGACAGTGACATTTAATAAGGCACGTTAGGCTGGCAGGGGAGAGATGCAAGGAATACAGACCTGGGATTACTGATGAGAGCAGGACAAAAGCAACAACTTCTGGAATACTGAAGACCATTTTAACTGTAAATTTTGCCACCCCATAACTCAAGATACCAAGCCCAAGCAACCAATGTCAGGATATTATTTTCAATAAACAGCGATACAAAGACCAGAAACTATTCTGCCATGCACCCCTATTAAAATTAACACACTCCCTAAAATATAAAGAACATTTCATTAAATACAGCTTGAGTTAGTTTGCTACTGATATGAATCAAGGTACAGACAAGCAGCATTTTCCTTCACAGAAAAAAAAGGGGAAATGGAAATGAGAATTAAATAAGAGGGAAGAGAAAAAACACCCAGTGTCACTATTCACTGCAAACAAAACAAAATAACTACTAACAAAAAAAAAAAGATCGATTGACATTTCTCCCTCAAATCCCATTATTTTCAGCATAATTCAAGCAGGCAGCTAGCTTCATAAGAACAGTGAGAAATCCTAAAAAGTTAGCTGGAGGAAGGTGACACAATTAAGTTCAGGCTTTAATAAAAAAAAAAAAAAAAAAAAAAAAAAAAAAATGGGGGGGCCAACGAAATCCAAGGGGTTTTTTAAAAAAAAAAAAAAAAAAAAAAAAAAAAAAAATTGGTGGTCTCAACGTAATCCAGTGGTTTGTTCACAAACTACTAATATAGAACTTGCTGACTGTTCTCACTGTGTCTTTCTGAGATAATATCCACTGTTGTCTAATTAATTAGACAAGTCACTATTTTGAGTTTAAGATTTGAATAAATTTGAGTATAAAGATGTCATCCAAAAGGTCTCATGAACCTTCATGCCACCACTTCCTTGATTTAAAAGCCAGATTCCCAGAGAAGAACTTGTTTACCTTCTTGTGGGTTACAAATCTCACCGCCCCAGGGGCTGCTCAGCACCAACTCTGGAGAAGCAGCTGCTTCTCTCCATGAGGCACCAGCAGTTCCTATCTGCAACACCATGTGCACGAGCTCACAGGGCCCTCTAGGAGGCTCCGGGACTGCCGTGCCCGACCCCCAGGAGCAGCAGGCAGAGCTGGGCCGGCTCCCCCAGGGAGCCGCTGCCCGGGCCCCAGGCACTGCAGCCACGGGGACACAGCAGAAGGCCCAGGGCACAGGAAGGGACACTGGCACTGGGCACAAGGAAAAGCAGCTCACAGGGGCGCAGTTAAGCACAGCATCACGGGAGGCAGTGGAATCTCTGTCCTCCCAGACTGGCACAGCTTAACCATGGAAGGAAGATTCCCCACATGAGCTCCAGCCCCAGCAAGAGCTTGGTCTAAATCTCCACATGTCCTCTCTGCCCTAAATCCTTTTGAGCTCTTCTCATTTTCCCATAAGTCTTAAAATACTAGAAAACTGGTAAGTAAACCAATTAACATTTACATTAGTAATCTGATTAATATCAACTGGCAATTAATGTCAAATTACAGCCAAACAGGTAAAACAAACTGTTCTAGCAACAAATGTGGTGAGCAATTCCAGATGCTCAATTTGCTACCAGTGCTGTCCCACACTGCATCTAGGAGTTATTTAGTATTTTGCTACCTTGAAGTTAACAGGAGGCTTCCAGCTTCTGCACAGAAGTTTCTGTTGGAAGACAAACACCCTCTTGGTGCAGTCTGTTTAGACTCCTGAGAACATGTTTGGGAATACCTATTGCTGCTGAAAGCTTTATGGCACATTTTAGCAGAAAGTTGTATATTGTTTTATTTCCACTCCTGTCATGAGGCTTTTCACAAAACTGCTGTAGAATTGCCTGGTTTTGTTACTGGCATAGCACTGCTTCTCCCTGGACCAACCCACCAGCAGAAGCACTGTTTCCTCCATGTGTGCTTATCTGAAAGACCGACTTTGTTACTACAAGCAGGGGAAATTTAAAAGAGCACACAGCTGTTGCACAAAGTTTCAGCAGACACTGTGCCCCCTCTCTCTTCTCTTTAAACAACATGGAGTTAATAACTGTGGTCAAATATGGGTTTAAAGTGAAATATGCACTGATTCTTTTTATTCAAGAAGCATACTACAAATTCTGTGAATACAGAAGAATTCAGACCTTGCAAAACTGCAAAAAACAGCCCAAATGCCTTTACTAAGTAGCCCATATAAGTATTTCAGTTTAACATGAAGACAAAGGGAGAGAACAATGCCAGCATGCTTTGATTACCTGCAAGACTAAAGCCTGTTCCAGCTGGCACCGAGCAAAGCTCCCTCCCTGCATGGACTCCCCTCCCACCACACGTGCAACATTGTGACAGGCACTTGGACACAGAGACCCAATGAAGGCCTCCCTGGCACAGACAGCCACTGCATACTAATGACAAACTGAGATTACGAACAGCACGAGCACCACAAAACCTCACCCTGCAGCAGGAGCCATGTTCTGGCAAACAGTCACCCGCTATGTGAGGCTGCTGGGGAGCAGAAACTAGAACACCATGAAGCTGTACAGAACTACAGTAAAAGCTGTACTTATTTTTGAAGCATTAAACAGGAGTTCTTTGTCACTTCATTTTTTTTTTTCCAAAAGTGAGTAATTCTTCTGACTTGGAATACTGCTGAAAACTGCAGAAACTCCTGTGCTTTCTCCCTTAGTAAAAAAACCCTACAAGTATTACCCCTGCAAACGCCATAAAGCACTAAGAATTTGGGATGTAATCAGCTTCCAAACACATCCATCAGAAATTCCTGCCACCGCAGGGCCCAGTGGTGCAGCGTGCTGGCCCCACCCCGATTACCCCCGAGAGCATCGTACCGTACTTGGCGCCTCCGAGCTTCGACACATTGTAAAACTTTTTCTCTGGGTGGCTTTCCAAAGCTTCAATGACGGGCTGGTAAGGGCTTCCTGCGGGACGAAACACACAAAGTTACAGCCACAAAACAATGGGTCGTTTCAGCACTGACTGAGGACTCACAAAAAGATTTTACTTCTGATTCCGCCAGAAATAACGTTCCTCTAGACTGTAATTAGATGCAACATGGAGTGGTTTCTAAATGGACTGAGACATCTCGTGATGAAGATGTGTGACTAAGGTGAATTTTAAAAGCATCGCTAATAGGAGGTACATACAGGTCAGTGCAGGTCGCCAGCACAGCCTGAACACACCTGACCTTTGTTATCTCACTTTGCCATCTACACACAGGATAAGACACCTCACCAGCGCAGATAAGAGATAAGGGTTTTAATACAGCAGGAAGCACAAAGCATTGACTGCCAAGCCACCGTCAACGAAACAAGACACAAAAATAAACCTCGTAGCAACCATTAGGCGCTCGGAATAAATAACCCCCGGGAGGGAGCAGACAGCGGGGCGGGGACGGGGCCGCTCTCCCCCGCGGCCTGAGACAGCGCCGTTCGGCGGCGAAGAGGGCGAGGCGATGTCCCGGGCCGCGGTGTCCCTGCGGGCTCGGGAGCCCCGTCCCCGCAGTGACCGACCTGTCCTGGCAGGGTCCATCGCCGGCGACCATGTCAGCGTGAGGGAGCGGGCCGGGGGGCGCCGGCGGGCCGGCAGCTCTCGCGAGACTGCGCCCCGCCCCCGCGCAGCTCTCGCGAGACTGCGCCCCGCCCCCGCCCCGCAGTCGCAGCACGCCCCGCTCTCGCGAGACTGTGCACCCAACCCGGGAGGAAAGGGCACGAGATCGCGCGAGGCTTCGCGGAGAGGGCGAAAGTAGCCGGGAGCGGGCAGCCCCTGCTCTCGCGATAGCAATGACGAGCGCGCGGGCGGAGCTGCCGGTCAGGACGCGCCGGGGGCGGGACCATGATGGGGCGTGGCCATTCTGAGGGCGAGGCCGTTCTGGGACGGAACCGTTAGGGGCGGGGCCATGCGGGAGGCGGGGCCGCAGACCCGCGCGGTGGCACCGCCTGGTGGCGGGGGGCTCCGGCCGGGCCTGGCCCCTCCCCGGTCGCGGCCCCGCAGCTCCGCGCAGCGTGCGAGGCTGAGGGCTGCAGCGGGCCCTAAAGATCGTACGCTCCCATTTTAAGCTCCATCCGACCTGACGTTGAACGCTTTCAGGGATGAGGCACACACAGCGTCCCTGGACAGCCTGTTCCAGTGCCTCACCACCCTCACAGTAAAGAATGTCTTCCTAATAGCTCATCTAAAATTCCTCCTTTCAATTTGTACCCATTTTCCCTTGTCCTGCCACCTTAGCCCCTGCCCACCTTCCCTGTAGGGCCCTTTCCGGGACTGGAAGGCGTTGCGAGCTCCCACACAACCTTCTCTTTGCCAGGCTCAGCGGTCGCGGCTTTCCCAGCCTGGCTCCCCAGGGAAGGTGCTCCAGCCCCCGCGGCCCCCAGCAGCCGCTCCAGCAGCTCCGGCGCTGTCCGCAGCTGGCGCTGAGGGCAGGGCGGCCGGTGCTGTGGGCAGCGCCCAGCGGAGCCTTGCAGGCCCAGCAGCAGCGCCCGGAACGCGGCACAGCTCACGGTGCTCCCGCCTCCCCCTGCTCCGAAGGCAAAGGGTGGTCCTTGAGGAAATAAACGCGTGCTAGCACACCTGTCCAAGGGCAGGCCATTAGAAGTCTCCATGAGCCGTGTCCTAGTGCAGGGCAGGAACATTACCACAGCCCACACTGAGGGCGGAAAGGCGTGTGCTCTGTCTACTGCCCTACAGCAGGGCCTGACCTGGCTCTTGCTCTTAGTCTCTGATGCTAGATTTCTTCACAATGATTTTTCCTTTCCATATCTCTCTTCTTTTCTTTCTCTTAAATAAGAGGCTTTTTTCTTTGCTGGATGATGGAATTTTATTTTTGTCTTCATCTTAAGTGCAACAGTAGCAGTACATGAGTGGTGAACGAGTCAAGCAATAGTCATTTCTTCAGGCTATAAGACATAGATAATACCTGGGGTTTAGACATTAATGCAGCCAGAACTCATCACCAGGCTCAGGCAGAAAAGAAGATTACCAAAAAGATGTCTGCCTCAGCCTCTATTCAATCCATTTTCCTGTTTGCCTGCATCTCTTTTGACCTAAACTGCCATTGCCTTCCTGAATAGTGACAGAAGGACTTGACACACTGATTGCAATAGTTATGCTCAAAACTGCATGAGCAACCCTAATTGTGGCCCCTTTTTTCCTGTTCCAGGTTGCAATGATGCCTGACCTATCTCTGACATACTGCAGGAAGAGGGAATGGCATGGGTGGAAAGGCAGTGGAGAATGTGGCCAAGATGTGTCCAGAGCGTCTCCCCAAATTCTGCTGTGTAAAGCACATTCAGGGTGCCCAAAGCTGTCTGTCTTTGAAGAGATCACTCATGTGTGACATCTCAGGGGTAGCTTTTACCCTTGCTGGATCAGTGCAGTCCTTTCCCCTGACAGAACCCAGCACAGACCCTTGCCCCAGCACACAAGGCTGCCTCTCGTGCTGGTCACACGTGAGCTCCATGGGAACTGGGCAGGAGTGTCTGGTTGGTGCTGGCAGCTGTGGTGACAAGCAAATGAAGTATTGGCAGACAAGTGCTGGAGCTCTGTCTCTTGACAAATTCTGATAAGAAGCATCTCCAGGGATGTGCTGCACCATCACTCAGCCATTGTTTTCCTTTGCCAAAGACACCCCAGTCTCACAGGGCTCAGTCCTCAGGATGCCAGTGAATAAATGGCTGCTGGTTATCTCCCTTTGTTGGCTGAAGGCTGACTTCAGTGTCAGGTACATCCAGGGAAAGGAATTTTAGGCAGTATGGACTATTTCTTGCTCACATGTGAAATCCTTTAACCCCAAATATTTAGAGGTTTGTGCCCTTCCTACATACCAGACAGATTCTTGGAAAACAAATTGCATATATATTTGGTTTTAACACAATGTCTGGCCTTCAATTTATACTGAAAATTTTCTTTCTTTTTGCTTATTACCACCTGAGCTACTGCACTGTTCTGCTTACTATTTTTTATGTGATTCTTCTAGAATTAAGTCCCTTAAGGAAATGTGTAACTGTCTAGGAAGAAAGATGGTTTTGCAGTTTTCAGGATGTATTTTCCATTTCCCACCTGGCATCCAACATCCTGAAATAAGTCAAATTCAAGGGAGAGCTTATCCAGAAGAAAGCAGGGATGGCTATTGCTGGTTTATAATTAGAGCTGACAGAAGCAGGCTAAGCAGAGTCTTAGTGAAGAAGATAATGTGAGTAGAGGGAATTACGTTGTGCTACTTGTGTGAAAGGCAGTCACTCCATAGAGAGAATTTCAGTACTGCTGTTCACCATATTTCAGCCTTCAAACAGAGAAAGCAGTTTTGCTGTGGAAAAAGCTGAGCTAAATATTGCTCTCAGGTCTGTGTTCTACAGCACTGTCACACAGAAGAGACCCCAGCAAGACGGAGAGAAACCAGTGCAAGACACTTTTCTAGTTGTGCCCTTCTTTTGTCTTCCTCCATTTTCCCTATAAAGACAGAGGAAAGGCAATAGCAGTGACAACCAGACACCGTCCACAGCATCCATTCCTCAGCAGGAGGAGCAGGTTGATTCAGGAGTTTGAAGTACAGCCCTTTGAATCAAATCACTTCTAATCCTGGCTTCCATATGACTGCTATACTTGAAGCTCAGATGCACTAAATCTTACACTGTTCTTGTGAGGCAGTGAGACATCTTTAGAGGAAGGGAGTGAAACTGTTCATAACTGCCTATAGATGGAAAAAATAACACAGCAACCTGATTTTATTCCAACTGAATGAATACATGAGGTTTTGAAAGAAAATCTCAAAAAAAAGGGAAACCTCTTTAGAGTATTTACTTAAGAAATTTAGGTCAGTCCAATCAATTGAGTCTAAATCCACAGGTGAAGGTACAAAGTGGGTAAGACACACAGTAATCTATGCAGTCAGAGTTGGGGCAGCTGATTAAAAAATCACAAAGATATTTTGACATTGTCACATTTCAGTAACAAACTGAAAAAAAGGGTTTGTAAAATTCAGATTGCACAATTTGTAAGAAGAAAATCAAGTGGTCACATTCTCCTGTGTCTTGTACCACAGCAGCAAAGCCACAGGAATTAGGTGAGCTGTAAACTGAGAACATGGCAGACTGGATACTTCAGTAAGAGCATGACTGAATATTTAGTTTTGACACCACAGTGGTCTGAGATACAATCTTTATTTCTGTAAATTAACTTTCTGAATACAGTATCCTCAATGCTACCATGTCATCTTCAAGAATATGAATGTAAGCTTTGCTTTTTTGTCCCTTATGTCAAAGTAAATAGATTCATAACTGCCAGAGGAAAAAGCATTTCTTCTTGACACAAGGGTATGGCAACAAGTCTGTGCTGTCTGAGCCCGTGTCATGAAAGACACTAAAAGTCAGGTTCCTTACTCATGCTAAGGCTCCACTAAGAAATAACACTACCTAGATTTCTCATACCTGGAATATTTGTTATCTCAGAATGGTGTTTATTAATTGATTCACTGCTGGCAATTCAAGTTGCTGTCATAATTTTTCATCTAAAATGCTGACATTCAGGAAATTAAAAAATCAGTTTCAATCTCTTCTTACTACAGCTGTCATTTAAACAGAAGTACACAACTCTAACACCCCTCTGAAAGTCCCTCCCTAGCATTCAGCAGACTCTTAGTAAATCTGATGATAATGCTGTCTTGTGAATATCTAGATAGCACATGAACTGTTCTAAGGCTGGGTATATGAAGAGGCTCAAGTATCATGGAAGCTGCTTTTCAAGACTTATTTCTTGAGCTCAGTACATTTTATTCTCCAGGTGGAGGAAAAGTGTTCAAGATGATTTTCACATGTGAGACAAGTGCTTGTGTACAGGATCCTGCAGAAACTGTGTTTGGGAGAATAGCCTTGCTGTGAAGAGTTCGTTAGTACCAAAAGTGAAATTCACTAAACATGCTTACTTCCAATTACATCATCTAATAGAAGAATAGGATGGTGAACTTTTGCTAATCTGAAACCAGGCACCTATTTTCAGGTTGCAGCACTGTTGGGCCTCTTGTATCATTAGGGAGCTTGAAAAATTGCCTTTTCTAGTTATTCAACAGAGACTGAGTGCAAAGTCTTTTCCCAGAGATGTCAGGAAGAAGAAGGACTCTTGTTCTGATGGCAGATCAATTGAACTCTGAGTTGTGAGCCTGAGGTCTTCATTTCAGGAAGTGCAATAAGCAACTGGGGAACCTCAAGCTGTACTGCCCAGCTCTTAGAGCAGTCTGTACAGTATCAGACTTAACAGCCCTAGAGATCACATCTGGTTTGGTTCAGGTTGTGGTTGTTACTGACATGCTTGTTTTAAATGGATGGCATCTGTTGCCTTCTTTCCTCAATGCTGCTGGAAAAGGAGATGGGAGGCATAGTTTAGCTTTCTTACCTCAGGATTTTTTGCAAGCTCAGGCACTGCTGGCTTCTGGGAATAAACGTTTTCCTTCTCAGGAAGGTAGTGGTCACCTGCCATGTGCTCATACATGCTCTGGAGAGCCAAATTGCTTTCTTTCCTCACTCACTGCAGGAGAAAGCTTCATTTAGCAAGTCCCACTAGGGGCATTTCTCACACCTGCAGGGAAGAAGGTGGTGGGGTGGGGTGGGCGGGATGAGGTTTGAAGTGGGGATGGAATGCTGGGCACCACTGTTGGGTGCATCCCAACTGCAGAGGGCCAAGAGCTCCATCCCCTCTGACAGGGATGGCATCAGGGAACACACTGCACACATCCACAAGAAAGAAATTTGGGGGATTT